CCTTCACCGTAAGAACGTCAGGTAAATTATGTACATATGAAAATTCGAAAAATCGAAAATCACATTGGTACATGGCGGCGGGATTCGAACCCAAGACCTGTTCATTACAAGTCAAGTGCTTAAACCACTGAGCCACCGACACTCCTTCATCATTATTATTTATCGGAATATACAACAGAATAGGCGAAAGAACAACTTGACTGAACAAGAATTGGAAACTCAACTAATACAGTTAAATTCAAGAATACTGCAATAATTACAAACTAAGTAGTCTTAGTTGGAACACGAATTGCGAAGTTGAAGTTAAGTTTAAAACCTGTGTTTTAATGCACCCCGACATTTAACAATGCAGCTAGAATTGTGAACAGGAAAGTATCAATTTTAATTCGCCAACGGTATTTAAATTGCAAACAGAAAAGTTTTTTTAATTGTATAGTTGTAATGGATTTTTAAAACAGCTATGTTGGAGTATTTCATCATTTTAACGGTTTACAGAACATCAAAAATAGGTTTGAATTGTGCAAAGGTCTTATTTTAGTAAGTAATGGACCCCATAGTGTTTTTAATAATTTCGCCAACTTTAATGTTAAAGATAATTTAATAATGTCAATTACCAGTTTTAAAAATATTTCGTTGAAACATCTAACAATCTTACAGATTCGATCGATTTTAATACAAACATAAGTTTCATCTATACTATCCATACTATTCTTTTTTCTTTACCTCTTCTTCTTTTTTTTATAAAAGCCCTACACTTACGTCACGTTTTAGGCTATACATTTTCACGCCATTAACTTAGGTGGTAAATATTTTGGATAAAAAGTCTAACGTGGGAAAGAGACCATAATTTGTTGCCAACATCAAGGAAGCAAGATTGCCAAGGTTTGTCATGTTATGTCATTTTGACAATTGCTATTGATTATTTAACATAAACAATATTATAAAATTTTCATAATTTCATGGATGAAGCCGCACGGGAACAGCTAGTTTTAATATAAAAACACTATACATATTAACATCCAGTTAATATTAAGTTAATTGCGCTTTTATGGCACTAAACTATCAATTACTGGTACACTTATTTTTATTTTTTAACTTTAAAAAAGCAATACACCACAATGGTATAAAATCAATGTCAAAGGTGATATTTAACACTTTTTTTTATTATGTTGCAAATTAGCTAGAATTCATAGAAACATAAAAGCAACGGCACGTGTAGTTTTAACGCGCCGCGTTTGTGATATTTTACATAATTATACAACAGTAGTTGTATTTCAAATACAAATCAAAAGCAATATTATTAAACACTTTTAAAACTTTAAAAGATTGTCTCCATTTCACAAGTTTATATTAAAGTAAGGAAATCTAGTAACAACTTAGTTTTAGTTTCCTATTGTATTATTTGTGCAAAAGAATTTAATAAATAGACAATAACAACTTAAGGAGTTTACTTGCACATTCTAAAAGATATGTTGATAATACTCTTTCATATCTTAATTTTTTAATATATTGTTTCATCATGTCATTACACTTGTCTCAAAAAACACTTAACAATGCGCAATATGTCATAGTAAGTTAGAATTATTATATTGCAATATGTGATAATCTATACTATTATAATAAAGCGTAAACACACACTTCTTTGTTGCCTAAGATGTCAGCAATTAAAGCATATTTTTGAATAATTCTTTTTTAAATAAAAAGCCCTTTACTTGCGTCACGCTTCAGGCTATGTATTTTAACACCATTAAACTTAGGGGGTAAATATTTTGGATAAAAACCCTAATGTGGGAAAGAGACCAAAAGTTGCTGCCAACATCAAGGAACCAAGGTTGCCATAGTTTGACATGATGTCATGTCATTTTGACATTTGCAATTGATAATTTGACAAATGTAAACAATAAAATGATTTTTTTATAATTTTATGCGGATGAAGTTGCATGGGAACAGTTTGTAATTGTACCTATATTTAAAAGATTATGAAATCAGATTTCACAGATGTGATATCACCATGAAATAGTATTTTGTCTACAAGTAAATTGTTTTAATCATTGATTTTCACTTACAACGATGAATACTAATTTGTTATAAAAACACTTTATTTATCACGTTTAGATAACTAATTCATGGCTCGCATTCATAATTTATAGATTGTTTAAATTATTTAATTTTGTGATTAATTTGTACTATTACCTTATTATATTATCAAAATAATTAGCAGTATTTCCCAATGCCAAAATCAATAAATATAACGGCGCGAAATTATTGTTAATTTTTAAACGATTTAAGTTACTATCAAGTAATAATTTTAAGTGCTGAAAACATTTGAATCCTGTACATCTATCAATTTTCATCGAGATCCGTTTAGGCTACAAACTCTAACTTACCATCCTACCATCTTAACTTTCGAATTTAAAATATTACTAAGGTTATCTCTGGAGCCGTGTTGTCAAAAACAAGCACTTATATTTAGGTTAGAAATAAGTGTAGTCACAGATCGTACAATACTATGCTAGTTAACAATTTTTAATATTATAAGCAGAGTTTAAAGTCTGCAACTCGTCACGATGAATTACATTTTATGTGTTACAAGCTTTTAAATTTGTTCATTCAGACGTCTAGACATGCGATAATTTCGTGTTTTATATGTTAGTGTAGGAAAAAACATTGTCGTGTTAAAACTAAGTTTAGTGATGTAAAGATTTCGTGATAAGTTTGAGTACCTACCATACATTTTAAAAAGAAGAATAACAATTAAGAACAATCTGATGACACAAATACGACAATGCTACCAACCTTATTGGAAAGATATTTATGTTTTCCAAACACTATTACATTGGTTATATCTACTTTAAAAATTATACCGTTAATATAAATATTTTCTTCGAGTAATTGTTATAAAGTGACAGACATAAAGTACTAAGTTAGATGGATCTTTGTTACTATGTCTCCAAGACGGCTTTACGGAACTTAGCACAATCGTGGAACATAATCTGGAAGAACACATAGGTTACTTAAGATTTTTATGCCACCCGAACAGAGTCGCGGGCAATAGATAGAGAAGAATAAATCATTAACTGACGCGCTTAATTATTACTCAAAGACTTCTTTAGTATAGGTATAATGGAGTCCTTAGAGCTCTTTATGTTTAATTAATTGTCTAAGGAAACAAGGTTTATTTTTGACCGACTTCCCAAAAGAAGGAGGTACTCAATTCGTCTGTATGTTTTTTTTTTAATGTACCAATATCTTAGTAGAAAGTGGATTGTGTTAAAGAAGATTTGGATCAGGATGAATTCAGATACGACGGCTGCTAGAGATGTATGAAAGAGCATGTACTGTGTCCACCCTCCGTAAGTATAGGGACAAGTTAACGATGACCAACATATCAGTAGCTTCACGTTGCACGATATAATAAAAGAAGTTGTTTTCAAAAACTTGAAATTTGAATCTCAATACGATCAAGATTTCCATAACAGTATTCTTTTGAATTGTTCATTCTCGTGCGTCAATGGCAGCACGAATAATGAATAACATTATTAAGATTTCGTGTGAAAAGTATTTTGGTACGTTTTAAAGGATTTGATAGGCTGATAACTGATATAGAAAACGGTCACATTTGAATTCCCATATAACGGTATATCCATACTTTTTAGACATCAAACTATTTTCATCTGAGTATTTTTCAAATACATTTATGCATAAGTATAAAATATTATTGTATGTTCTATTTTTTGTGTTAACTTAATCATTAATATGTTATGATAAAACTTAACTTCATTCAAGTAAACTTTGGACCTAACCTTTAGATTATAGACCGAAATATATACTTTTTAAAAGGACAAACTGAAACAAGAGATCTTACGTCTCATTAAATTATAAAAACAAAAGGCTATTCATAACGAGCAGTGCACCTGACCTTAGTGTTCAGTACACTCCGAGTTCGTAATTAAAAACCTCAGTTAAAAACGAGCACCTTGTCAAATTAAATTCATTAAAACGTTACACCAAGAACAAAACCACAAATGCATATATTTTTAAATATGTTTTATTAGAATAAAAAACTTTCTTTTTTTACTTTTTAAATTGACCAGTGTTAGAAAAACGAAACACAAAAACGTCTTTAAAGTGAAGTTAATTTTACCGAAAATTCTTTAACGCAGTAGCTTTTTGACTTTTTCTGATAGAAAATTTACTAACGTACCTATTTGTGAATGTAGGTTTTTCATACGAAATTACTAATTTTAAAACACTTATTTAAATGTAATGATGATAACTTCACATTGTTATTATCTCTTACGAGTATTTATAAATCGCGACGTCACAATGACTTGCTGTTATTAATTTTACTTATATCTTAAAATGCACTAAGAATAATGACTACTTACATTAAAAGATTAAGGGCCTGTCCCACCACTGGCTGATGTGGCTCAGATAGCTTAAAAATAACGCAACTGTTAGACAAGGTAACAAAATCCGATATTTCCATCACATATTTCACACGTTGGAGTGTTATCAGACAGTTCACAATTTGGTGGGACAGGCCTTAAAACTCTTCAGGACTCACATTTCAAATGTAACAAATTCTGAATAAAGAAATTTCGTTATACCGTACATACTATGTACTACTGTACTTAGTTCAATTATGTATAGTGATGTTTGATTATTATATACTACTTAAAATAAACGGTCGACAAATTCATAGCACGTAATGTACTAGTCTCTACAAGAGAGGGTCTAACGAGAAACGATAAACATTTGAAATTTCATATCAAATCAATTAATAAAACTTTAAAATAAAATCGAACAACTTTAAGTCTAAACTAGATTTATTCAACAAAAATAAATTACTTCTACAAATGTAGCTAAAAAGAAAAATAGAAAAAAGGGAAGACAATGACTTCCAATTTTCCATACTCTATCTGTTGCCGACGATAGTGTACAGTCACCTTAACATCAATAATAAATAGACGATACGTGTTGACCTTATACGTTAAGCGTACTTGATAATACGATTCAGTTTATTCCGACATCTCGTGCGCAGTGGACGCGTTCAAAATGACGAGCACAGAAGAGGCCCCTTCTAGTTTTTGGGACGAATTAACGAGCCCGCTCAACTTAGTGTTAGTCGCTGTTATTCTATACCTTGTCTACAAGATTTTAAGGTCTCATTTCGAATCAGAAGACACCACGGCGGCCCCCCCGCCGCCGCCTATGAAAAAACTTCGAAAAGATTTAACTACGGCTGAATTAAAGAAATATGACGGCACGGGATCTGATGGAAGAGTGCTTTTAGCTGTAAATGGTGTGATTTTTGACGTAACAAGAGGGAAAAGATTTTACGGGCCAGGTAAGCGTTCTCCGCCGTTTCATTCACTTCACTCCACTTCAACATCGTTATGCGATAATGTTATCGTAGTAACAACCGCTATCAAATACGCGCCATCATTGTTTCTTTCTACCTTGGAAATTTGCTTTCATAATTTTCGAATTTACACCTCACCAGTATTTAGTAGTTTGTTCATATAAAATTGACAAACGTTAAATTTCTTTGTGCCAATAACATTGGCCAGCCTCGTTTATAACCGGTTCTTATGCATTCTGCTTATAAACAAAGCGACTATCATAAGATAACTATGACTAAATTTTCTAGAACATTCCTTAAGCCAAAGTGTTATTTTAAAACGTAGATTTACACATTCCATAACCTAGTTAACTGCCAAAACATGTTACATTGCGCAACATGTATTCTACAAAATCATAACGGTTAATCTGTCTCACTGGACTGATTATAACAACCAAAAACGATTCTAGTGCATACATTGCATCATCAACATAAAGTATTATGTATCTTAGTGATGTTAAAAAAGTAATGTAATGCTGACAGAACAAAACGCCGGCTAGCATACTTGCAAGTCATGTGCCAGATAGAAACAACGTTATAAAGCTATCTCAGCTCATGAATTAAACTGCATCGTGTTTATGGTGAGAGCGAATTACAAATTCAGTGTTATTCTTCGTAATATCTTTACTATTATCTCTTAAACATTATTGAAGTTAGTTTAAAATTATATCTGACGTAACGTAAGAAAGGAATACAAAATGCAAATGATAAAAGGGATAGTTTTAAATCGAACAATCTTCATTCACGGGAGACCATACGTTGCCATAGCAACCAACTGACGTTACTCTGGTCTCTACTTAAACAACAAGGACATTTATCAGATACTAAAACGTTAAAGTGTATGCGATATTGTATAAAAATTGCATGAAAACTTTACTTATGGCATTATTATTAGTTACTATTAATTTAGGAGACCAGTCCCGCTGATTTTGTACAAAATCCTTCTTAAATTCATAAAGACATTTTATTACTTATTACTTGTATTTACATATTGACAAAACTAGACAAAAATCTCTTTGTATGTGTATACGAGTATTATACAAATAAATATCATGGCAAAAAAAATATCAAATGATAATAATTACGACGCCGCGCTTGACCTTGTATTCACAAGGTTCAAAGTCAACTGTTGTTTAGCATTCATACTGATTTACTGACAAACGTTCAGACAATAGTCTGTTATCAGAATCGACACAAATTGAAACAACGAGTGATACAATGTAAATCGCTGTTAATTATAAAATCAGAGCGATTCCATTCACACTGTAGATATACTTATCACATCATCAGCTCCTATACGTCTCCACTGAGGGGCAAGGAGCCAACCCTGTAAATATGTTACTCTAAGAGTAATTTATCTCTATGTTCCATCTATCTAATTTCCATCATTTCCTGACCGTCCTTATTAAAAACATATATGTTCTGTTCCATTTCGAAACAATAAATTTGGAAAAAAATTTAGGAAGTCAATGTAGATTAGAAAAATATGAATTTATTCCCGCTTTCCGTATCCAAACATTTTCCGCAATTTAACAAAACAAACATAAATAATTAACACACTAGTAAATTAGATCTAGAAATTTCTCTTAAGGCGTATGCGTCATATTCTATTATTATCTACATGAAACATTAAAATTTCGTGTATGATGCAACGTTCAATCTTATTACAACTAATTGGTATGTCATGGTTTTGCGACATTTTTTACTCAGTATACGAAACCGCAATTTCTATCATAATTATGGATTAACCATCGAATTAAGAAAATTTAAATAACAATGCGAGGACAAAAATCATACGCATATCTTACAAATCCTAATTGGGACTAATTAAAGGAGCCCTAATTACCACATCCATTATTGTCATATTTAAATTAATCTTGATAATAGAAAGTACTAATTTAAAACGATGGTTAATATATTTCTAAAAGTAATTAACAGTTAAATTCCAATTAGTTAGATTGAAAATTTTAAAACTATTAAAATGTATGAAATACAAGATAATACAATTAGAGCCTGTCCCACCAAATTGTAAATTGTATAACAATTTAAAGTATAAAACATGTGATGGATATATCGCGTTTTGGTCCCATATCTGATAGTAACGTCATTTTTAACCTGTCTGGGGCTTTATCAGCCAGTGGTGGGACAGGCCCTTAATAATTATCTTTTGATCTATTTAAATAGTGTTTCAATGTTAACTTCAGGTGGGCCATACTCTGCTTTCGCTGGCAAAGATGCGACACGCGGTCTAGCTACTGGCTCAGTTTCCGCAGACGACAAAGAATGGGATGACGTCAGCGATCTCAATGCTGATGAGATTTCCTCCGCCAAAGAATGGGAAGAACAGTTCAGGGGTAAGTTACAAAACCCAATTTGTAGCGTTATTTTACGATTTCATGTTGCTTAATTTGTGAAACGAGATATTTGAAATCCACTTTCAAATACTCGCATGTTTGTGTTAAAAATATTGAATTCATTCAATTCGCACGTATTCCCACTTTTCAATCAATCGTTGAATTTAACTCAAAATAAATTGATTCCTATATATTGCGGCTTAATAGATTATTACAAAGTTATTTTTATGAATTACGATACAAATTAAACAAACATATACTAACAAACCAACGTACAGGTCCTGCAACATTAGGTTTGATGCAGAAATATTGTTTTGTATGGATACCGTGGATGAGGGGAGTGTAAAATAACAAAAAAAAATCGTAGAAAACGTTATTAATGGCAGTTGCCCCTTCTAGACCTAGCCTAGATTATCAAGCTTCGTCCAAGAGTATATGAAATTCCCTTGCAAGACTTTAAATTGAAATAACGATGGTAGAGCCCTCTTTAACATCTTCGCACGAATGGGTCGGTTCGCCCGATGAAATACCACGACCACACAGAAGACAGGCGTGAAGTGGGAGCAATCCTGCATTTCGCCTGATGCGTGTGGTGCCAAAGGCCCAATTTCAGTCCCTTTCTCGGTCCAACTTTTTCTTATAATGAAAGAATTGTATGGAAAAGTCGATTTGACGGTGGAGGAGACACATAGGAACGGAAAATATCCTCTTTATGTGCGTCTCCTCCTCCGTTGATTTAGGGTAGTCAACGCATCTGCATTTGCGGATGTTTATGGGCATCGGTCACTTCGGCAATTTGGCGGATTTAGGTGG